GCTCTTGCCTTCCCAAATGAAACCGTGCATAAGAGGAAACTAACTTGTGTCCTCAAATAACAATAAACATCCCCCTTACCTCCACTTCCCTCCTCAAACAAGCCTGGGACCAAAATCATCAATACCCCACAGCAGCTGTCAGGTTCAAAAAGAACTGTGAATACCTCTCTTCTCTTCTCCTGTCTTCTCCAAATATGAGAAGCAAGTGGAGAGATAGCTGGGGAAGCATCCTAGCAGAGCAGCTAGGATACTGTCAAATGTGCTCTTGCCAAACAAGAACTCAGTCCGTATCCTTAGCTAGGAGGTATCAACGGGAATCAAAAGCACAGAGTTTAATATTGATGTGCTGATTAAAATGATCATTAAAAAATAATTTTCCAAACCATGGTTTGGGTGGAAGAGGAATTATCTCCAAGATAAAACAGTCACACAGCATTGCAGCCTTCATCTGAGTATGTCTCCTGAAATGGTCTCAGATCTGTGAGTAATTTTTTTCATTTACACATGCTTTTCTTGTTTTTACAGTGAATACAGCTTCTGGGTTTATTACTTTAATAAGGCCTGCTCACTCATGTTTGCCAAGGATGCCTTAATGCTTTGCAAATCACAGATAACAAGGTTCTACACCTCATTTGATGTACAAAGAGGGAAAATGCTTGAGAAGCTAAAAAAAGTTAGCAAGAAGCTGACTTGTTGTGACTACTGACATTTATCAGTTATTAGTCATTAGTCGAAACCAATAACGATGAGCAGTCAAGCATAGCGCTTCTCATCTTTGTTTTCAGCAATCATAAACTGCTGCTTGCTGCCAAACAAGGCCTTAAAATGGAGAAAGGTACTTACACTTGCTTCAGATGAACAACTGGGTACATGCCAATTTTTACATGAACAGTCATAAGCATGTTCCTGCACAGCAGGATGTGATCAAACTATTCAAAGTTGTAAAACCAGGTTTGCTTGCCAGTTATGTTATTGCTTCAAGATCAGGGTATTAGAGACGACACTTCACTGGCTGTGAAACCACTGCTTTTCTTCAGCAAAAAATTCTACACCTTTAATATCTAAAACTGTACAGCAACAGACTGTTCCCAATTACAAAATATCTACAGAATTAAAATTAGCATTGAAAACATATCAAACACTCTGAATTATAAACCATGCTGCTATTTAGTTTCTTTAAAAACACTTCCTTCAAGCTGTACCAATTAAAGGGCATCTTTTCTTCTCTAAAACAGAAGAAAACTTATTGCATTGACTTACTCAAGTCCCCAGCTTCAGCTGCCAACCCTTTAATCATATTAACATTCCTGTCCATAAGATGTGATGTGCTTAACAGGTGGTGGCCAGTTTGAGACATTGCACTGCATTGCCTCCTGCTGGAAACCATTTTCTTTATATGATCTTCATAAAATACTTTAATGTGACCATGGCCATATTTAATTTCTATCAAATGAATGCTCAAGCAAGCAAGACTTTTGAAGAAAGGCAGAACTGTATTACAATCCATTGGACGAATAAGTTTTTTCTTTGAATGGGTTAAGACAAAACTTAGTATTATAGATAATAAACTGATTTTTTATTTCTCATAACAGTTAACATCTTACTCCATTTCCTTTTCAGAGAATCAGTCATAAAACAGACACAAGCTTCCCAGTGTAACACAATATCTGTTCACTAACAAATATATCTTGGCAAATATAACCAAACAGTTGAGCTTGTTTTTTTAAGGGGGTTGGTACAGGAGAAGATGGATGTCAATGTTTAGTCATGCTTTAGTTGTTTGGTTTTTATTCACTTGAAAATACATACTAAAAGTAGTATCAAATATTTGAGTTTATACCATTTTATTTGTTTTCACACATACAAAAAGTAGTTTGCATATTTGCTCAGCAATGTAGTGAATGATCTAGGATTACATACACATGTGCAGCTCAATACAGTGATAATAGTGCCTCTAGCTGCTTCCTAATAAGATGCCACATTCACATTTGAAATACCAAAAAAGACGTAGGGGTGCTTGGGTATTATAGCTCAGAAAGACCTTATTGATACATTTCATAAACATGGATAGCGCTTTTCATCTTTTCAAGAATAAAAGAAACTAAAAAAAAATTTCAAATAAAAGAATCACAACTAGTTAACCATTTTAAAGCAGCTGTACAACAGCAGTCCAGTAAAATACAACTTCATGGTATAACCAGCAGAAAAGTTATTGTGAAACGATGCTTGAAAGACTAGTTGAAAACAGCCTGTACTTATTTGGTCACAGGAGATGCACAGTTTATAGAATATCCATTCTCTACGAAAGCTAAGCAGTCCTTAGCTGAAATGAAACCAATGAGTTAGAGCTGGAAAGATTTCTGTGTTATTATTGCTTATACAGAAAAATCAGAAATCCCAGAAGTTATACCCCAAAAACTGGATGCTAGCTGTATTCACCGTGCTTAATTGTCAATTGCCAGGTTATTGTGAAGAAAAACATTAAGGATAATAGATGCAGCTTCATTAAATATAGCCTGTGTAAACCCTTATTTATCAGATAGACAGTTCTTTCTCATATGGAATTGGTTATGTGGGTCACCCAAATGGCACTGGTGTCTCCACAACAGGTAGTAGAAACAGAGCAACACGATTTTTACGAAATACGTCATGAAGCGTTTAGCTTCCACTGCCCAGTGACCTCTGAACTTTTAAAACACCATTTCCAGAGGTCAGCCACAGCATATTATGGCATACTCAACTCCTTTGTCTCAACCTATCCTTACCAAGACCCCCTCATATTTGATGTCACCTCCCATGAAAAGAGAAAGATTTTAACTTGCAGATGTTATGAATACCTGAGGCAGCCTCAGATCTAACTTCTAATAATTTACATTTGTTATGCTAAGCATATACATCCTTGAATTATATCCAGTCCCTTTGTGGTCTAAGATAGGAATCCCTCTCCTATTGTTCTTGCTGTTAGCGTAATAACTACTGCTATTGCAATGTTAACAAAAGACTACTAATAATTCAAGTATGGTATGAATTCCCAAGGAATCATCAAGTGAGAAATGCAGGCTGAAATGTAGCTTCAATTCCAAGAATCTATTTTACAGATTCAGTAGTCACAGCCATAAAGGCATCACAGTTATGAAAACACAATGCAAGCTCAATAGAGTTCTAGTAGTAGTAATCAGTTTAAAACAATGGTATTATAATTTGCAAGCAGTACCAATCAGAGCACTACAGCCTTCTACCAAATGCTGATGTAAGAAATCTTAGTTTGGAGGGTTTTATGTTTATTTTATTCATTTATTTTTAGCTGCACCATCTACTTGACGTTATCTGTGCATTTTGCTGATAGACCTACAAGGTGGCTTTGCTGGCTGTGGCATTTGAGCCATTACTACAAAAAATAATGATCTTTCATTAATTAATTGCTATGCTAATTACTTTGAAAAGAGACTTCTATACATATGTCTGTAGATTACTCTTTAAGTGGAGAGCCTAAAAAACCAACTCTGTTAAAATATATATTATAATGCCCTACAATAACATTCAGAAGTTCACAAAAGTTTTATGGTCCAAGTATATCTGAACGCATACTTGGACATTGAAGCAAAAAACTAACAAAATAAGAATATACCAAAAGATCCTTCCCCTTTGCTGAAAGCTTTTCTCTTATGAGCTGCCCAGTTCTCAAATGTCCTGTGCAAAGAAGAAATCCAGTCATAATTAAAAAATAAAGAGCATAAATTTTTGGCAGGACTGTTGGATGTTTACCAGTAGATAGGCTGGTACTATACTTACTGTTATTAACGGTAACTTACTGTTACTATAAAAAGCAAAAGAAAGCCAAGTGAAAAAATAAAGTTCCAACATTAATATGCTTTGTAGTGGATAAATGCATAAAGTATTTTAAGAACCAAGCACACAGGGCTTTCCAGGTTAAGGTAGGATAGAACATAAAAACAATAATAATTGCAAAAAGTGAAAATCTCAGGGCGTGGAGAAGAGATTATTTTACCAGGTATAAAACATAAATTTAACCAACATTATCAGCACCAGTCAACATCACAAACCTGATTTTAAATTTAACAGAAGTTATTTAGGTGTGGGCTAACTTGGATAATTTATATTCAGGGAAGATTTAAATTTTCCATTTTGGAGCAAAAGCCAGACGAAACTTCTTGCCTGTGACGAATGCATATGGAGTTTCATCCAGTCTAAAAATCTCTCAAGAGCTCTACTCCCCATCCAGGCTGCTTCTCCCCACAGCTTATTCCCAATGAGCTAAATCCAGTTTTTATCAGAAGACAACATTAGGAGGAAAAAAAATTGTGGAGATAAAATTCAGAACAACTCTGCTGTGAGATGGAAGAACCAAGGAGACTCTCTCCATGATGAAGAGAATGAAAATAGCATTCTTTTGTGAAAACAGAAAAGTGAAGGGAATCAGTGATCTGAGTGGAAAAAGGAAATCAGCTTGTAGTGGCCTATGTAGCAGAAGCATGAGACATTGAAAAATCAAGGACCGTATGCTGATTTTCACCTCCTGAATGTAAAGCAACACAGGGAGGAATTGCTTATTTTGCTGCATGCAGCATTATTTTCCTTTAATGCATATTTCTGCCACTGATAATTTTAACCCTTTACAACTTTGAGCTAGCTGTGGTCTGATGCTTTACAGCAGTACAGAATTCTGCAAAACTGAGCCCTTAGTATCTTTTTACATTGGCCAGTATACTGAAAGCTATTTTGCTTTAAAAATGGAGAAGTTAGTGATTGGGTGCAAAAAATACAGAAATAAACTTGCCTGTGAAATATATTTATGCCATTTTAATGAGCGCTCCTACCATGCAGGCATAATTGTTTATTAATCAGCCATTTGCCATAAGGGCAGTCTTTTAGGTTTGCAATAGGGAAAAGAAAATGAAGCAATTTTCTTCCCTAGAAGCAAAGCAAGGAAAAAAAAAAGAAATTTGACATTGAGCGATTATACACTTGTAGAGACTTACTTGAGACAAAGCAGCATCCCGTTGTTCTATCACTGCATTCATTTCCTCAGCTACTATTTTCTTTTTACGTTCTTTGGTCCTGTGTATTCGATTCAGAATTATAGCTCCATTCTTCAGTATATCTATGCCGGTGTCTGCATTGTTTATTCTGTTCAGTAATTCCTGTAATGTCTACCAACAGCATTATATGTTAGTCAGACATGAAGTTTTAATATATTTTATTTAATATAGGGTTTTAATTAATAGGCACATGTGAATTGTAAATTGACTGAGTGAAGTTATTGAATTTTCATATTGCAGCAAAGATGTACATTATTAGTGTGTCAATTCTTCTTTTTCCCACATCTTAGTTCTTGAAACCCACTCAATTGAACTTAAGCCTCTAAGATATAAGACTGACATCAAGAAATCTCCTCAGAGAATGGCTTACCATGTCATTTTCTTCAGGGTTAATATTTTCTAGCCTAGAAAAAAGGGACACAGAAAGCCTGATCAGTAGCATTTCCTTAGTGCAGCAAAATGAGTTCGCTTTTTAAATCTTTAGAACCTCAAGTAATTTCATTCTACTAGTCTTTAGAGTCAACCATGACACTGAACATATTAAAGTGCCACCCGCTCGACTCCATCTTTCAATAATGCTCCATACCTTCAGCACTGACTTCAGACTGTTAAGTTATTAATGTTTACTGCTATATATGACTACAAGGATCAATTGTTCATATGTGCTTAGATGAAGAAAGTTCCCCAGTGATAGAAGTGAGTGATGCTCTTATTTTATTTATTTCTGGACTTACAACTTTTACTTGACGTTGTGTTTTTGTTATTTTTACCTCACCACAAATGAAACCGGACAGGACTTTTGTAGAGAATTTTTTTTTTCTTTTTAAAATAAGTCATTTTCCACCTCCCTCTGCCAAAAGGAGGCAAAACAACTAGTTGAAGTTTCCTTTAAAATATTTTGCTTTTATGTTTTGCATAAAATACCATGTTAAGCCAATTTTCTGCAAGGCCATTCTTTAATTCTGTCTGCTCTTCCCTGCTTTTTATTTCAAGAGAATATGTATTTACCTGTTAAATGTAAAGATGATATGAGGAATTTAGTTATACACAATTAAACACCAGCTGCACAAAAGAAGTGAGTGACAGAACAAACACCTAATAAATGGGAAAGTACGCATTTTATTTTACCTAAGGTTAGTTATATGGGCAGCATATTATTTACAATATTTGTGTGCATTTTAAAATGGAAAAGACCTCTTTAATATTTTTTAATATGCTTATTTAGGAATATTAAAAAGTTACATTTCCACTCCATTGCTAATTATTGGTGACATTTATTAAAAGTAGGCCTGTCACAGGCTAGCATATAAAATTTTAAAAGACAGTAGTCATTAAAAAATAACTTGTTCAGTGCTGAGAGATGCTGCTCTGAGGCCAAGATTTAAGCCAGCAAACATTGTAACAGTGCTTGATAGCACAGTAACATATTACCTTAAAGCGTTAGTTACCAGTTCATATGGCATAGCAAATCAGCCAATACTGAAATTAATCCTTTTAATCAAAAAGAAATAATACAGAATGTACTACCAGTGTATGATTGTATGATAGTTGGCATATTTACATGGACCTTGCAAGCAGTAACTACTTTCCAATATATCCACTCAGCATTAGACCAAAACCAAACAAAGTGAAAGCTAACCTTTGCTGGGTTTGACTCACGTTCATAAAGTAATATGAACCAAAAAATGACAGACACTTGAGTTCAAATTCTGACAACTGAGTTGGCTCCTTGTAGAGTTCCTGCTTTAGGTTCTTACACTGCTCTGTTCTAAGTTCCACCTAGCATGGGACTTAAAGAGAGGTCTCCAGCTAGTCTGTATTCAGAATAAAGTGTACTTGTCAAAGAAAACTGGCAGGAATGACCTGGCTTCACCAGAGGACTTCTCTCCTGATAAAAGCGTGGTCAACAAAATCACTCAGCCAACCATCAGGCTGGGTGGGGAGGATACAGGTGGAGGAAATGGGGGAAGAGAAAAAGAACCACCATAAATGTAGCCCTTTTGCTGTCACAAGACATCTATCTGTAGGCATACATACACCCTCTAAGGTCATAGTATTTTCTTTTAAATGTGCACTTGCCTGGTTCCTCTCCCTGGCTGTGCACAGGCAATAAGTGACCCTTTAGTTCTCTCATGATTTGAAACAGCAGTACGGAAGGATTCCTTTTTCTTCTATTTTTATACACATTCCCCTGAAGTATTCTCTAGGGGTGACAGGATTGAAAGCGTTTCAGCTGTTACAGTTAAACAGTGACCAAAGAACTGCTCTAGCAGCTAATTTTAAGAAAGCATTTGAGCATTTGGTAAAGGTTGGCAGGCTGCTTAATACTGCCCTCTCGTAAAAATCTCTAATTGGAACAGGTCCAGAGCAGATGGAGGGAGTGGCTTGTGGTCTAAAACTTGACAAGGGTGGCAAAAATAGCCAATGGACTTTACAAAGAAATGCCCTATGTGCTCCATTTGATGTTCTCTGAGGTGAGAAAGGTTGACCTTTTGCACAACTAGCACCAGCAAGAAAATAACGATGATAGCTGGAAAAGCGCCAACATTCCAGAACAAACCCAAAAGCTAAAAAAAAAAAACTAAAACCGAAAAGCCACTCCCTTATGGCTCATCCCATCACCTCTGCTCCTTCCAAAGGATTTGTAGAGTGTGAGGTGGACTTTGGGAAAAAAAAAAAATCCATTCAACCACACTACGAACCTATTTACAATAAAGAGTCTAAGAAAAGTAATTTTTTTCTTGGAGTTCACTCTGCTCCTAAGAATGCAGCAGGTAAAAACGATCGCTTGCTTAGAATGAATAGTGAGACAAACTTTCATGATAAATTAGAGGTGAGGTTTTAGAGTCACTCTATTCTTACGACTATTGCAGAGGTCAGCTGAGCCCTAAGCACCTCAGATTGACTTGTTTTGAGAAACCAACAATAAGTAGAAGAGACTAGTAACAGAACGAGATGCTAGAGGAGCAAACGTTTTAAGTGAGGCTCAAGAGAACTATTGATATTATAGAAATTTTGGTTAATGAACATACCTGAATGCACAAGAGGTGATAGTGACTGATGGAAAGATGTTGATTTATTCACTGTGATGAATTCAGCAGGTTTGCAGCACAGTCCTGACTTGCTTCTCCCATTGCAACATGCCATTCATCCAGGTAGAAGTAGAAATGAATATCTTGTCACCTCAGCTGAAGTGTCATTACAATTAGTAAAGACCCTCAGTGTTCTGAAAAGCCTAACT